AGTTCATCTAATCGTCTCCATGTTCATGACCGTATCTCCAGCCAAATATTTTTGATCGACACAGGTGCAGATATCTCCCTGCTTCCTGCTGATCCTAAGATACGTGTAAAACCGTCTTTATTTAAATTATTTGCCGCTAACAATTCTCGCATAAACACATTCGGCGAGTCATTTCGCACTCTTAACCTAGGTTTGCAACGTTCTATTAGATGGAATATTTGCATTGCCGATGTGCCTGTTGCAATTATTGGCGCAGATCTTTTAGTGCATTATAGCTTGTTAGTCGATTTAAATAAACGTCGGTTAATAGATCCTCTTTCAAACATCTATACTTTAGGCGTTTTGAAAGAAGCAGCTATGCATTCAGTGTATGTGGTTGAACCTCATACTGAAAATGCTCAACTGCTTGCGGAATTTCCGGAAATCTGTGGTTCTTCTAAGCCCATTTCTCCAAGAACCCATGATGTGTTACATCACATCATCACAACTGGCCCCCCAGTTGCTGAGCGACCTCGTCGTCTTGCTCCAGACAAACTTGCTGCCGCTAAAGCTGAATTTCAAGCTTGGATGGATGCCGGCATCTGTCGCCCATCTAGTAGACCCTGGGCTAGTCCCGTACACATGAGATTAAAAAAAAAGACGCAACTTGGCGTGTCTGTGGTGATTACCGCCGTCTTAATGCAGTAACCATTCCAGACAAATATCCCATTGCACATTTACATGATAGTTCTAGCAACTTACACGGTAAAAAATTCTTTTCCACACTAGATCTCCGTAAAGCTTTTAACCAGATTCCAGTTGCGTCCGAAGACATTCCTAAGACTGCCATGATCACGCCATTTGGCTTGGTTGAATTCATGTACATGCCCTTTGGTCTTAGGAACGCCAGTCAATCGTTCCAACGGTTCATCAATTCCGTTCTCAGCGACCTTGACTTTGCATACATCTATATTGATGACATACTCGTAGCCTCTTCCTCTCTTGAGGAACATTATAAACATCTTCGCATAATTTTTGAGAGACTCAAAAAATTCTACCTACAACTCAACGTCGAAAAAAGCGTTTTTGCAATCAAAGAACTAGAATTTCTTGGCTATATCATCAATTCAAAGGGCATTCGCCCAACCCCTAAAAAAGTCGAAGCCATTAGCCGTTTCCAAAAGCCTAAAACTATTTTAGAACTACGCCGTTTTCTCGGCATGGTGAATTTTTACCACCGCAATTTACCTCGCGCAGCTGCCACTCAGGCATCTCTTAATTCGTATTTTATCGATTCCCGCAAAAAAGACAAGCGTGAGATCGCTTGGACCCCTGAGGCGCTACAAGCATTTGAAAAAGTTAAAAATGACTTCATTAATGCGACTCTGTTGGTTCATCCACGCTTTGACGCCGAACTTCGCATCGTCTCTGATGCATCCGATTTTGCCATGGGTGCAGCTTTAGAACAGTTATCGACTGAAAATGTTTGGGAACCTTTAAGTTTCTTTTCTCAGAAATTTTCCCCTGCTCAGTGCAAATATAGCGCTTACGATTGTGAGCTTACTGCTATCTACGAAGCGATTAAATATTTTGCACATCTAGTTGAGGGTCGTAATTTTAAAATCCTTACGGACCATAAACCTTTAATTTATGCATTTTTGCAAAAATCAGAGAAAGCGTGCCCTCGACAAGTTCGCCAACTTTCCTATATTGCTCAATTTACCACTTGTATTGAATACATACAAGGATCAGAAAATCTAGTCGCAGACTCTTTTTCGCGCATTAAGCCGATTTGTTTTCCATCGGAACTTGACCTGCTTGATCTTGTGCAAGAACAAAAAACTGACGAACAACTCAAATTACTTCTTGAATCTTCCGACACTTCCCTTAATCTCAAGCGAATTCAATGGGGTCCTGCCCACACCACTTTATATTGTGAATTGTCAGGTGAAGCTCTTCGTCCTTACATTCCAGTAACGCTGCGTAAAAAAGTTTTCGAACTTATGCATAATGCAGCTCATCCTGGTCCCAAAGTCTCTGATCGACTTATTAGACAACGATATTTATGGCCTGACATGCATCGCAACATTACTGCTTGGTGCAAAGGTTGCTTAGATTGTCAACAATCCAAAATTTCGCGACACGTTAAACTCACACCAGAACACTTTGTTGCACCCGATGGTCGCTTTGACCATGTACAAATTGACATTGTAGGGCGACTCCCTAATCACAATGGCTTTGAATATGTCCTCACGATGATAGATCGTTTCTCAAGGTGGGTGGAGGTGGTTCCCCTGAAGGAAACGTCTGCCAACACCATTTGTAGAGCATTTTTTGACTCGTGGGTATCTCGATATGGTGCACCTAAAATTTTAATTTCTGATCAAGGTTCACAATTTGAATCGCGTTTATTTACGGCTTTACTATCTTTAATTGGTTGTCAACGAATTCGCACGACCGCTTTCTATCCAGCGGCAAATGGTCTAATTGAGAGGTGGCATCGTGTTTTTAAAGCCGCTATCATGTGTCATCAGGACACTGATTGGACGCGCACGTTATCTACGATCCTACTCGGTCTTCGCTGTCACGTTCGCGCTGATACGAATGCTTCCCCTGCAGAATTCATGTTTGGCACAACGCTTCGTTTGCCTGGCGAATTTTTCGTCCCAGAAAATTTTACGCCCGATCCGAACATTTTCATGAAGAATTTCGCGAGTACATGCGTCTAATTCGTCCAGTTCCTGTAACGCACGAGCATAAAAAACGCGCTTTTGTATTAAAAGATCTGTACTTCTGTACTCACGTATTTTTAAAAAACACGACTAAAAAATCGCTCGAAAGACCATACAATGGTCCATACAAAATATTAAACCGTCCGTCTGACCGTTTTTTTGATATTGATGTAAACGGTAATAAACGTAGTGTTTCTATAGAATTATTAAAATCCGCTTTCTTTCTACCAGAGGATCTCGATAATCTAGTTGTAAACAGCAATAATCAAGAAATTCATTACAAATCCATTTCGATTTTATTGTTTATTATTATCTTTTATTTATATTATTATTGTTACACTATTGAATCTACAGTCTAATGCAATAGAAAGTCGACACATTTTAATTAATTAAAATGTTAATTTAATAGACTTTATGTAAATTCAATAAATATAAATAAAAATAAAAAAAATTAATTTTTTTTCCTTATACAATTATAACGAGTTAAGTCTCGTTATGTCTCTCTCTTCCCTTAAGTCAATTGTAATTTATTAATAACTCTTTTATGTATCCTTCCCTACCTAGCCGCAGCTGCTGATGCTGCACGAGGTAAGTGAGAGAGCGCCGAGCAGAGAGAGAGAGAGAACCGCGTGTATGCGAGAGTGCGTGGACGCATGAGTGTCCCGCGCGTTGCCTAATTGGCTGAGGCGCGCCACTGACGAATAGCCAAGGAGAGAGAGGGGGACCTCTTTCGCGTGCGAAGAACAATTAGCTGCCCGCTGCCACGAGGAACGCAAGCCTAGCCGTCAACGCGCGATCGGTAGATGCCTTTGTGTTACGTAGCCTACGTTTTTGTCGTTAGGTACCGAGAGTGCAGAGTGTGCGTGACCGCATGAAAGACCGTGGCACCGAAGTGCATCCTGTGGACTGTGTGCTGTGTGCGTGCGTGCTGACAAGCTGTTGATCGTGTCAAGAAGTCTGCCCCGAGGCCGAATATTCGTGCGTTTCGGAAGCGAGCTCTAGGCTACTGCGAAGCCGACGTGTAAGTACTTGCTCGATTATCTATCACTCTCTCGCTCGCTTCCTGCTTGTCTCTCTCACGGCGCATATCATTTGTACGCCTCCTTATTTCCTTCATTTTAGTAAATGCTATTTCTCTTAACCACTGTGTCTTTCCTTTCGACGCCCTCCCCTCCCGCGCTATACACGTGCTGACTCGCACCGCCAGCAACTATCTGACCTGCGACGCTCTCCGCGGGCCGAGGGCAAGGACGCCTTCAAGTGGCATAGCTGAGCCACTGGGCTGGGTTCCGCGTAACCCCATACCAAGCCTGCAACGAGCCGAGTAGCTATTTAGCTTCACCCATCACGGGGAAGTTAGAACCCCCGTTACAAAATTATCTGTAAAAATTTTTTGTAAACATTATCTGCAAAAATTACACATCTCACTCTCATTATCAATTTCTTCCACCATATTAAATTCAATATTATGAATTTTGGAAATATGATTATAAATTGATATTCAACGGCGTCAAAATGCCACTATTTATCGAAATTAAAAGTTCTTAAAAAATTTTATAATACAAATATAATACAATTAAAGCTGAAATCTTAACAAAAATATATATATCGTTGAATATACTTTTAATATTTTTATGAAAACAGATTCCCAGCAACGGCAGATAAAAGAAAAATTGTTTACCGTGATAAGAGGGTCGTGTAAATTTGGCTGGGTACTGATGGTAGTAGGTTATTTTGTTTTATCAGTGCACCCGCAATAGGTAGGTCATATGGAACTCCTATTGAAGGGAATCTAATTCTGACTATGATTTGGTTTTTTATGAGAGAGAAGGAAACGGAAAAATAAAAGCAATAAATGAGAAACGTGAATGAGACGAAAAGGAAGATAAAGAGAAAAACGGCGGTCGAAGTAAAAATAAGGACAAAAAAAGACAGAACAAGGAAGTTGGACCTTAACTCAACAGGTTACATGGTTACGAATGCGATGAGAGTAGACGCTGGGCTGTAAAATATTAACGTTGCTACATAGCGCGCGGGTCAGACAAATCGATTCGCGCTTTACGTATTCCACGGGAATATGACTAATGACAAAAATAAGCGCTAAATGAGATTACATGCGTATTAATATATAGTGTATGTAGCTAAATTCATTTGCCTGCCTGTTTTCCATGGATAGATAACTGATTAGCCATTGCATTCCTCAAGTAGATTCGATGTTACTAGTTTATTTATGTTCTCTCTAAAATACCGTACATATACAAGGGGGCATTGTACACATATAACACTTACCATTGGCATAGGAGAACAGCAAATCTCTGAGCTGCTGCTGACCCGTGGTTAGCTCGACGCAACTGACCCTCACGCTAAACCTGGCTCCCGTCTTCTGGCGTTGTTCACTAATACCGCGAAACAACCAAGCAATGGCACAGGGTATTGCCCCCAATGTTTGCCCAGCCTCCGCTGAGCCCAGCATTGTATACGTTTTTCCTGAGAATAGATCAATCAATCACTATGATAGATAACATACAAATGCTAATAGTAAATGAACGAAAATATATTAAACATCTAAGATGATTGTATGCAGCTTCAGTATTAGCTCGATATACTTTAGGTTAGACTTGAAAAAAATTGCAGTTACTAGCTCTGACAAACGGTTATGATTTAAAGGCAAGCAAGTAAGCTTGTGCAATCTTGTTAATATTGTGCCGATGTGCCATGGGAAAAAGGGAAAGCTAAAATAAGCGAGCACGATAGCGAGGAAGTCGAGAAATATGTCGGAAATGCCAAAGCCAGCGCTGAATTTTCAACGATATTTAATTCCGCCAGAATGAGAGATTAAATAATGTTAGTATTCATTTATATGAACGAATATAAATTGCTCATAAGCCGCTCAAATAGGTTTAAACAAACGAAACTTGGTCTGTTACGAAAGGTCGGAAAAACGACATATATTTACGATCAGCAAGATCCATGTCAACAAGATGAAAGAGACTTCACCAATGACAATCTTCTATGGTCAATTTTTTATTCTCTTACTTTAACTGACATGAATTTACTTAAAGCAGCACTACACCGCTTGAGACATAAATTTTTGCGACATAAAACTTCACTTCAAAAAGTCACTTAATTGCAGTCCAGAAGTGTGAAAACGCAGCTCTCTTTTTGATTTTATATTCGATTATTGATGATAATCAATACTTATTATTAAATGTAAAGTAATATCGGTCGATTCGCCTATTACTTCCGATGAAAGTCGCTTACTTCAGAAATTTGTAATATGAAGAGATCTAGTTAGTAGGGGTATCTGAAAAATGAAGACAACGTAAAGTAAATGTAACCAATTAATTGGTCACTTATTAAGGAACCAGGGAAACGAGACGAAGCGGCAGGGAATAGAAAGGGCCACAATTACACTGTTACAATTGTTCGTTCAAGTATTAGCCCGTGTCCGCTTGGCTCTCGAGCTTTTTTGCTGCTCACTCACCAATCAAATTTTGCCTAAAAGCTGCAGCAGCAGCACCACAATCAGCCTACCTCACATATCAGATCCGATCTAGTGGAAAAACCTACAACTAAACAAATAGAAAACAGAGCCCAGTACAACTTAATTGATGTTATTGAGTTAGGTGGTTGGCAGCACGAGCTTATTCGATGCTATTCCCTTTTTCTCTTGATCTTTTATAAGCTATAATTAAAGTGTAAATGTACAAACTGTATGAGAATGATATAAATAACGTACCAAGGCCAGCGTGTCCAAAGCAGAAGAGACAACCATCCGTTCCATTGATAACTGCATGAATGACGTCCGTGAGAGCGCTCGAGCAAATTTCCGTCTGCAAAGAATAGTTTGATATTGATTATCAGTGTTGAGATGCTATTTCATCGCCAAAAAGTTTGACTAAACGACATTACACTAACTGTTGAATTCACGAAAGAGGCCAAGCTGACTTGCTAATAAGACCGGGGCAGGAAAAAAAAATTATTAATTAAATAGACGAGACACTCGCGAGAATAGCGGGAACTCATTTACAAAAACAACTTAAGAGAAGTCCTTTGCTACCGTGGAACACTTTAATAAATGCTCCAGCAAAACAGTGGCAGCTATGAGACGACGAAGAGCAGTTTTGTTTGTGTCTAATATATTTATAGGCCCCGCAGTTAATATTTGGCCTCGTACTTGCTTCCAGTCATCCCTATTTTTGGCCGAATTGCCGAAATCTCCTCAAACAGCCGCTTTTCACTCTCACCTGTGCATATCTTGGCCTGTTTTGTTGTTTTTTATTCTTCCCTCTAGTCTACCCTTACTTTTTCTTTTCCCCATTTGAGCTTACGGGACCGCTTGCGGGCGGAGAAAGCTAAGCGTGAAGCCAAAAGCTTCGATCGATATAAGCCCATTCGGCAATAGATACACGACCTCACATACCTTCATAAAATCTAAATTCACTTCTTTCACCGCAAAATGCTTTTTCTTAGTCTTCGACTGTGTTATTAAATGTTGTTTAAATTAATAAGCGACTGTTTATTAAATTAATATAAGTAATGACTAATTTTAAATAACGATAAATTAGAATAACAAATTCGTTGGTTGACAAATTTAAAATAACTTTATATTAATTTGTTATATAAATTTAGACATGATCGAAGCATATAATACATTTTTCAAATTCGTAATATACTCCATTATCATTTTACTATCTTATTAAAACGTTATTTAGAATACTTAGTTATTTAGATTTAATTTCAAAACTTTTTTCTCATTCCTACCTATATGGAGCCATATGATCTTGGCTTATAAATGAATGAAACAAAATAGGGTGAAATTGATTAAGAAATAGGAAAAAGTATGAATGAGTTACAGACATTGGCTAATTAGGGAAGAAAATCAAGACGATCATTCCCTTGTTTTTTCCGATATTTAAAGTCTTATCTATTGCCAGCATCTTTTACAGATACCGCACGTAAAGTGAGAAAGTCAGTACCAATTTTATGAAAAAATATAAATTGGTGGACATCGATGTTTCTGGTGATATTTTTTTGAGGACATACGTTTTGTAATAATTTCAATAATCAGTAAAAATATTACATATTTCAATCACAATAATCCTAAGTTCACAATATCGGAATAAAGTCCTATCTAGAATATTCAAAGTATTTTATTGCAAAATACGACAATGCATTTGTCTACAAAATCATGTCTCCTTACACTTCCTATTATAAAATCTCGATAATAATACGTTTATATCAATAAAATGACGAAAAACTTAATTGGATAAATATTCAGATACATGCATACCTACACTTACATATATACACATAGATATTTCAAAGGTTCGATATTCAAATGAATCTAGTAAGTATGTGCCTCTATGCGCAGTTTGTATGTGCACAAACATATACTAGTCGTGAAGTTTAATGAAATACGTGACCAAAGTTCTCGTTATAATATCTAGCGTTTCATTTTTTCCTAAAAGTGATATAAATGAAAAAATAAATATCTTTGAAAGACTTTAGGAAGCGAAAAACAGATTCCAAAACTTGTTCAACAGCGTCCTTGTCGTAGCTAGTTATTTATATAATAAAAAGCTTCTTTACTATATATACACTGAGAGAAATTATGTAATAAAAAATGTTAAAATTTTAGCAAAATTTACTATAAAACATAGTAATCCTGGTACGTACTCTGACTTGAGTTAAAATTATTATGCTACATAGTAAAATTTGAATCTAAAAATTTTTGCTATGTTACATAGTAAATTTTACTATATCACATACTAAATATTATTACACTTACACTTTTGTATAAACAAATTATTATCATTAACAATTAAAGAATTATCAGAATCATTGTCATCATTATCATACGGCAGCTCTTTAAATTCTTGATAATTTTCATTATTACTAGTAAATCTATCAAGGTTCCAAATGGTTACTTAACCAAGTAACGTGTCCGTTATTATTACTAGTCAATCTATTGTTCACTTGCGTTATCAACAAAATTACTATCATCATTTTTTCACTTTCAAATACAAGTTCTTTATGACTATAAGTTAAGTGTTTACGAAAAGATTCGAATGAAGAATAAGCTCTGGTACAATTTTGAACAAAGCAATGAAAATTTCTAATATTATCAAATTCTCCTACGGGTTTGAGAAACAATTTATAAGAAGTAAAACTTTCTCGACAGAGATTGCATAATACTGAATCCATATTAATTGATATTAATTTACTTTTAAAAAATACTAATATTAATTAATATTGATAATAATTTCCTTTTATAAAGTATTAATATGACCAATTAGAGCAGAGATGTCAATTGTAACATTATCAGAAATAAAATCAATTCCAAATAATATCATTTCCAAATAATAAATTTCAATAAAATAATTTCAAATGGCCATTTTTGAAAAAACCAAAAATGGTCCTCAAAAATCTAAAAAAATTCAGACGTGTTCCTTGACTGATTCTAAGCATTTTTTGTTCTTATAAACTTTTCATCAAAGTCGATAGTTTTCGAGAAAAAAATTATCTAAGTTTGAAAAAGCGTTCTTTAGCCGGCTAATAACACTACCATTGCCTAGCTCTTACCACGGGGAGATACACGCATAATTAAGAGCCTCGTTTTTTTTATTTTAAAATTTTTTGTTTGTTTTTAATTTATGTTTTTTTTTTCTTTTTTGTTCATTTTTTATGTTTTTCTTGTTTATTTTCTTTTAATTTTCTTTTGTTTTGTTCATGACGTGTGAAAAGTAAGAAAACAGGACGAACACAAGTAAAATTCACAGTTTTTGCACATTTTTTGTGTCCTTGCGTTACATTTCTCAAAATTTTGACAATATCCTTTCTTTGCAACATGTACGCTTTCGTGCTTCTTTGATTTAGCTAGATAGGATTTTGCAATTTCCAAGGCGATCGATTTTGTTCCTACTTTATCATCATGAACTAAATTTCGAAAAGTTGACGCATTAGTAATTGATGATTGTATCAATCTTAATAATATAGGCCACGTCCACTTTTTCGATATGAAAGAAGGACATAAATTGCCATTTTCGAAAAAACCAAAAATGGTCCCCAAAAATCTAAAAAAATTCAGACGTGTTCCTTGACTGATTCTAAGCATTTTTTGTTCTTATAAACTTTTCATGAAAGTCGATAGTTTTCGAGATAAAAATCGGTGAAGTTAGTGAATGAAATTTTTGTTTATTTACGCAAATTTATTTAAAAAAATATATATTTGGGTTTTCGTAGGGCCGATATTTTTTAGTTAAGGTATCATGGACACCTTTTTTATGAATTTTAAGCCCATAAAAAAATCGAAAGGCAAACAAATTTCGATCACAAAAATTTTTTTTCAAAAAATCAGTGCTTTTTTTTTTAATTTTCAAATTGTACATGAAAAAACTCATTTTAGAAAAAATTAAGTGTCATAATCGGAAAGAACATACTCCAAAACATAGGAAACGGTGGTTCGCGAATTTTTTTGCAATTAAATTATTGGCTTGGTGGTAGCTTGAAGTTGGACACGAAAAAGTGTCCGTCCCGTCCTTAATGGGTTAACCAAGTAACGTGTCCGTTATCTACATAACAATATATATTTACAAATGTGCATTTATAATCTACAAGCTAATGGTTGGGTGGATGATTTGAAAAAATTTTTATTTTATTATAAAAGTGTGAAAATCGTGTTAGAAACTGAATGAATATTTTAACTTTTTTGGTAATTTCTTTAAATAATTTTTTATAAACAATTGGAAATGGCAAAAGAAAAAATATAGGTAATTTTTTTTCATATGTGCTATGAACGGCATAGATAGTTTGACGATATAGACCATGGATTATGCTTGGGATTTGGCGTATACAGGTGAGCCTGTCTGGCCTGCAATTGTATATTGCAGTTTTACACTAACGATTTGAAGTTTGACAAGAAAACGTTATATACGTTTTTATCGTATTTTTTCCCGTAAAATCGGTTGCCGCAATCAGTTTTTTTAAATATTAACTTTTTTGATAATTTGTTTAAATAATTTTTTATAAACAATTGCAAATGTTAAAAAAAAATACGGGTACTTTTTTTCACTTATGCTATGAATGGCATAGTTAGTTTAGCGCTGTCTCATGCTGTTTTGGCATGGGCCTTAATGGGTTAATAAAAATAAATGCTCTGGCTGTTACTTTTAATACGCTTGAATTGGTTACTTGTCTTACACTTACATAAATTTATCCAGGCAATCCTTTTCAGTAATATTTCTTAAAATTCTTTCTTTTTCTCTGCTAAAAACTAGTCTTGTTAATTTTGATATTGTAGTTTTCTTTAATGGAAGGTTATTTTCCAAAGACATTTGCGTTGTTTTAAAAGAGTGTAACAATAATCTATTCGTTAAAGGAAACTATAGGTATAATAATGATTTTATTCTGTTCGGTACAGAGTCTATTTCACTGATTGGGTGACGGAGTCCGGCGCGCATAGCTATCCTAATCTCTCTAATATTTATTCGCGTGTTATGTTCAATACGCGCAACAATAGACACTGAAAAATACGAGTCGATACAAGACAACGCGAAGAACTTAACTTATTATCGATGAAGCGATGATAATAGATGGCTCGGCACCTGGAGTCTTGTTGTTTGTAGTCCAGGAAAAATAGGATTTGAGGCGGTTTTTCATTTCGGCAAGACGATTATTTTTTGACAGGTAGTGTGAACGGCGTACATTAAGATAACAACTATCCATAGTCTGAGAAAGTTTCGGAACATTGTTAAAATGTCCATAAACTAATAAATTTTGTGACTTTTTTCGTTCTTTTCTTTATAACTTTGTTCCGTTAACATTTACAACA